ATGTACTACATAGCAGTGATTGATTATACCTTTCTTAGTTGGGAGACTTTCAGTACAGCAAGGGTATGGACATCTATTTACATTATTTATGGAATTATTTTTAGTTATTTGGATATTAGTTTCATTTACTGGTGATTTGTGATGTGGGTGACACGACTGAATGTGTTTATTAAGCCAGCCCAAAGTTTTGTACGTTTTATTACAGTCATTTAGGGGACATTTGTAAGTTAAAACTCTACTGGGTTTATTTTGATGATCATTTCTATAATGTCTATTCATTTCTTTGACTGTTGCGAACATTCTATCGCAGTTATTATTTTGGCATTTATAGTCTAGTTGACGTTTACCTATTATTTTGGGGAAGTATTCCTGATATGCGTTGATTTTAACCTTATTAGGCTGTAATATCCTGTCCTCAGGTAGTCGTTCACCCATTTCTTCAATGTCCTGGTGTAGTTGTCTGAGCCAGTTTATAATGTATGCCTTCCTATTATTGCATGGGTTATCACACCGTCAAAGCCATCAATATTATCTGCAAAACTGAGCTAAGTCATCCTTACGTCAACAAGTATTGGAATTAAAAGTGGTTGGATGAGTTAGCTTTACAGGTCAATCTACAGTTGGTGGATTGAGAAGCCTACCCTCAAATTGATGAGGACACTCATTGGGACTTGTTACTGCACATGATCTTATGTGCTACAAACAGTGCTATAAACGGTCCCAAAAATCTACAAGCAACTTACAGTCATCAAGAGTTGCACCATTGGTTCGCTAAGATGCGAAAGGCTTTACTGGGAGGAATGTAAATGAACCAGCAACAACAACACATGTAGGCAATCCAAAAATCACGGAACCAATGAGAAAATGCAAAAGGAAAAGACAGGCTTCAGTATCAAATGAAGCTAATCGATAAATTTGTCTCCAATCCGAAAAGCTTATTTAGTTATGCAGCCTCTCTCCGAAAAGCCAAGACCTGAGTCCTCTAATTGCTAGGTCCTAATGGCCCAACCAAGAATAACGGTGACGTCATCGACCTTCTGGCGGAACACTACTTCCGGACAATTCAACCGGCTCACGCCAACTATATCGGCGAGAGATCCACCTACAACTCAACAGGACTCTCAGGACTGAGTCTGAGTACTGAATTAGTGTATCAGAAGTATTAACTTCAATTATTGTCAGAACACAAGATAAGCAAGTGGGGTCCACCAGAGTTCAGTACTACGACTTTCTCCAGCAGGCACCGTCTAATTCATTACCTTTTGCTGGTAATGTGAGACTCTGGAGAGACGTTTGCAGACATGGGGATATTTTGACACTTCAGGAGGATCTGACTCCACTTCAAAGTTAAGCAGGCAACAACAGACTTTTCCGCAACACTTCAAAGTGCAACGTATTCCATTCGAGGCACAATGTAACTAGGCAACTCCTCTCTTGAGGTATCTCAAGTCGAAAAAGATCTGGGAGTTTTGATTTCTCATGATCTGAAGTCTTACGCCAACTGCAGCAAAAATATCTTTCTGGAAAATCTTGAAATGACAATGTTGAAGTGCATTTCTGCCCAGTCTGATGGAAGAACTTTTCATCTGATCTCCAACGGTGTTGTCCGATCTCATTTATAGTGTGGAATCATAGTTTTTCTTCCCTCACTCCCAAAGGATAAGGACACACTGGAACGCATTTGATAACGAGCCACGAAATCAGTTCGATGATCCACATTCAAGTCTTATGAACAGCGCCTCCAATTACTGAATTTTTACCCATTAGAGTTCAGGCGTCTTAGAGGTGACCTTCTAATGACGTATAGCACCCTGAACACTAATGAACATCCCATTAAACACATACTTAATTTTAATCCTAACACAAACCTTAGGATTAGCACGCAGAAACTACAGAAACAATATAACAGGACGAACCAAAGGCACATTTTCTACTCCTTAAGAGTAGTTAAATATATGTACTCTCTGCCAATTGAGCTAGTTCAAGCCACTTCCAAGGAGTTCCTTAAGTGAAAACTTGATATATTCTTAAGGACTAAGTACAGTATCTCACTATGATTTGCTAATCTTTCCGTTCTCTTATATTGTTAAGATTACCCAGGTTCTTACCTGGAGGCATCACGAATTCATAACCACCAGATAAGGTAGCCCGGTAAGTGAAAGCTTCTTCCTTTTCATCCAGAACCATTTGAACAAGTTATTCAAATATTTTGAACCATTATGTACAATACTATTTAAAACCTACCACTAAAGTGGGAAATTCATTCTCTGGGTCAGTCGTGCAGGTAATTCAATGAGATGGGAGTTGCTTAATATGTGGGGGTCACCATCGTTCGTTTTTACTGCATTTGCGCTGTATTGTAAGCTAAAAATTACCAACTCCCACAATATATATCTACATATGTCGTTTCCCCAAAGTTAGGAGCCTGGGTAATTTTTGAAGTGCATAAGACTTTTTAAACTTGGCAGAAAAAGACATTTCTTCTTAATTATTAACATGTCTGCGTGACAACTGCGAAATTTCTATTTGTTCGACACGTCTTTCTCGGAAATATTTGTGCTTGACAATCTATCTCGAGCTCCCTATTTTGGGGAAGCCGCTGTAATAAACTTCAGGGAAATGGCACCAAAACCCCAAAATTTCCCTTTAACTTTGAAGAAGGACATTTGACTTTGTGGGTTTCCCCAAAATCTGGGATGTAATTAACTGAGTAACTACACTTCTTTTCTTCAAAGTAATACATGGAACTGAAATAGGTTGATTTAGCAGGAGATCAGCGCGTCTTTAAAAACAGCGTAGACCAATCAAGTAGGTATTGTCCAAATGAACAATTCGCTGTCAAAAACTACCCTGCTACCACGATTCATGTCTTTATAAGTTATTCCTACATGTGATGAGAATCAAACTACAAAATAAATCCCAGCTCAATTAGTTTAACATCTTATTATTCATCTACAATGTTTACTCCCTGAATAAACTTACCTAATGTATCAAGCAAACGTGACTCCTAGGTTCATTGTTATATTAAGTTCGTTAAACCACCCCCCTTAAAGTGACTTCCCCTGTGATTGGTTTACTGGGATTCGTGACACCCGAATTCTTCAGACAAAATCTGGGACTTTATTTCATTGTCCTATTAGCACATTATATCGGCTATATAACAAGATCCTTTCAATGTTGATGAAGTAGTAAATCCGTAGTGCATATATTTTGCTTTCAATCACGAAGTCAAGAGCTAAACCTGCGTCATTTGCAGCAACTCAAACAGCAGACTTGCGGTGTCTGTACATCCCGAACTTGGTAGTCGTACACTAGTATCTCATCGGGTCATACGCTAGAGATCTTTTGAATGCAGACTATGATGCACGTATAAATTACATTCTCACCCCCAGGTCATGTCTGCAAAATCTGTAAGTTCATTATAGCTTTCCAAAATAAGAAGACCTTGCAATCAGATTATAGTGGTTGAATGTGGGACCGCTACGTAACTGCTCAAAACTTCCATACGGCTAGTTTTTTCATCGGCCACTTCGAATTGACAGGCATTTGATAAAAAGTGACATTTAAGTACGCAGGAGAGTAGTGGTTTAGCGTACAAACACTAACCCACCAGTAAACCACCACCAGCTACCGAAGTTTACCTGTTCATGAAGTGTCATTATTCATTTCATGCAACAGTTGTAGTTCAGTCTAGTTTAGTGATCTATACACGTCTCCTGAGTCCCGAATTTCAAACTCGTGTTATTTGATTTAATTTAGATCCAATTTAGTTTAAATTCACGTGTACGCAACTATCTCTTCCGGAAGCGTTTATTCAGTGTAACCATGAAAGTCATGATTGACAGAAATCTCAAGTGGCTGAATATGCCACTGCCCTTTTTTTTCCAAAGTAGTGGTTTAGTTATCAAAAGCGGTTGACTTCGAGCCACAAGTTAGAGGATCCAAACACCATTATACATAATCCGACTAGAGCAGTATTACACTAAGAGTATAGCCTAAAGCCGAACACACAAACTTGTATCTCATTCCTGGGTCACTAGTTGGGAAGTCTGTTTGTTGTCCTCTTATTTTTGTTTATTTATACTGTGCACACTATTTCATGACTTGATCACAAGTTTTAAGCGGTAGTATTTCATCAAGAAGAGCTACAACCAAACTCCAACGATAAGATTGTGAAAGAAATTAGCAAAACTAGCTGTTTCAGCACCTAATTAAACGAAATATTTGCCATTGGAAATCAGATTCACTCTGATTTAAAAACTAGCAAAGAATAGAAATAAATAAATAATCCATTACATATAATAGTAAGTTTGATGAGAGATCAATATCCAACTTGTCCCATACTGGTTGAAAATTTAACACCCACATTGACAGAACAAGTGTACAATCTGGACAGTCTCATCAGCGGTTTAAACACTGGTTATATATATTAATCTGTCAGATTTAGATCACTAACGATGGGTTCTTTTCTAGAAAATCGAAGGGATGGCACATAAACAGACACCAAGAGACTTCTTGAAACTCATAGTCGGGAGACCAGTGGTAGTTAAGCTTAACTCAGGTGCTGATTACAGAGGTAATTTTATATCCATGCAGCTTAAATGGTTTGCAGGTGTTCTAATTTCTCTAGACGGTTATATGAATGTGGTGTTGGAACAGACCGAAGAATACGTTGATGGTCAGCTGAAAAACAAATACGGTGATACGTTCATCCGAGGAAACAACGGTAAGTCACATCAGCATTTCTAAGCCGTTGCAGTTTTTTACATTAGCACACAAAAGCGTTGGTGATGGATACAATTTGTACAGGCCTTTTTATATGAACAAATCGCGTGCTTAATTCGCAAAATAAATGTGCTTACTCCTGTATACTTACGTTTCCTGAAACCATAGTACGATTCACAAGACGTAGACAACGGAAGGATAATAATTAATAAAAATTTTATTACATAAAAAGCACATCTTGATTATAAATACATCTTTCTGAAAAACAGTTCTAATTACTCCACGTAATTAGGATGCACGACGATGTAAGGATCAGCGGTATCAGCAGATGCATCCAGTCCTGTACCACCAATAGTTATGAGAATATTATCCTGTAAGAAATAGGGAAGTTTCCATTGTTTCATTAACACTAAATGTATGCACACAGCCAGTTGATTCACTGTTAAAGACACTTGCTAATGAACCTAATTCCTCATAACTCACTAAAACATTGGTGGGATTAACCAGTAGTGCATATCCTTACATAAGACTGTTTTTAACCACATCCATAACTACATGCAAACAGCACAAATTATTGTAAAGTTAACTAATAACACGGTACCTTGGCCACTTCTGCTTAAGTTCCGTAGTCCCGTTGCTTACATGAAGAGACGTGACCAGAAGAGCACATGTGTTCTGGTGAGTATATAACACTTTTTAATTGTAATTAACCGACTGTTATTACTATCACAAAACCCCAAATCTATGAAATGCAGGAAATATTTAACGCTCTGCATTGTTTTTGTTCCATGTCAACCAAAACTTACTACAAAACGAATACTGTAGTTGCCTTGGTCAATAACGTATATTGAAGCGAATGTTTCAGTCTTATTTGATAGTCGAGCTATGGGCGAAATGCAGAGGTGAATGTTACATGACTAGGCTACATAATTTCTTATTCATAAGTAAAAAGACATTTTGATGCGTGCTTCATGTCTCACAACTACTAAACATTACATCTTACAGTTCGAATAATTTGTATGTTTTGTAAGTAGCAAGGATTCGATGAAGCCAATATCTGGTCGAATCTATGAAAGTAGGACAGAAATGATTTGACTAAAACCAATAAGACTTATTCCTCTTCATCCAACATGCTTGGTTTCATCAGGGTTCTTAGAAGTCAGACACAGTCGCGACATATCACTTGTTGAATGTTTTAGAAAAAGTAACTTTCGAAATTCTATATTTTGAGCGGTAAGTTGTTTCTGCACAGTTTCACACAGATAGCAGTATGTAGGTCTCCTATTCATTTTACTTTCGGTACAGATAATAAAACAAACCTGTTTGTACTCGAAAGCGGTAAGATAAGCAAGGATTCCAAAACCATCCATAAATGTTCTGCTTACCATTCTCTTAATCCATAAACTCAAAAGGAGCTTCCAATATAATAACGAATATGTGTTTTTGTATTTTTAATATTATTTTACTTCCGCTATGTGTTGTAGGATTCCTGATACACTTAACTACCCATCGCGGTAACTGATTCATTACTTCAGCGAATAATCGTTGATTAATGTTGCACATTACCATATCAAATAAACGGTGAAATTAGCGACATCAATTGTGGGAGATTGAGACTCACCAACTCTATTCAAAAGTACTGGTACTACGAAAGCGCTGAAATACCAAGTAAAATAAAAGCGACCACCTAGAACAGTGCATTTATATTATATAGCTTGGATGTGTTAGTATCATGGGAATGAGATAATTAGTTCCGAAATTTTAAATAATGAAGCCTAAGATTCTGAAAATCTTTATCTTTGTAGCTCTCAGTGACCTACATAGTTCGTTTCAAAAGAACCACCATGAATACTTCCAATCTAGGACTCGAAAAGTAAACAAATGCCAAATGTAACGAAAAGTGATGTGTTTATAAGCTTACCTTTTTTATTAGGCGATCGATTATGCGTTCGACAAGAAGCTTGACTTCCGCTAACTGCGCTTCGGTTTCAAATTCATCAACAACTTCTTCTAGATACCAGTTGACTAGTTCACTCCTTTTTGGGGCACCAGGAGTTTGATCAGACTCACTATCTGTTGCTAAGGTCTCACACCAGTTTCGGGCCCTCAAAATTAAAAGACTAGCAATCCGTCTATACTCATCATATGTTACTCGTAAATGTCCAGCGGTTGTATTTGTCTCGGTAGTTGGCTAGTCAAAACAATTAAAAAGTGGAAAAATAAGTGAGAAATTTGATAAGATTTGAAGAACACAATTTTTTTCAAAAATACATACCTGATCAATAACTGGTGTTTCCGAAGCATCTGTCAGTTGATGTTGGTCTTCCTCTTCTAGATTTATATCAGGCTGTTCAACTCGTATTATGGATTTGTTTAAGAGAGCAAAAGCTTCCCGTACATGAGCTTGTGTTACCTGTTATGAAGAACAAAAGACTCTTAATAGAGTACGGTTTACTTGTATAAAAGAAAAATGTTAGTAACGACAACTAATACATTGGTGTTAGGAAGACGCGAGGAAAGATCATGAAACCTGGAGTTATTAAACGATCTGTTTGAGATGTTTTCTTATAGACTTGATTTTGCGCTATTGCTTGATCTAATAACAGTTTCCCTAATCTACTGTGGATAAATCAGTTAACTATAATTACCTTGTTTAGCTTTGCGCCAAAACGCCTAGTAATGTACATATTGTTAGTTAAAACCTGTTATTTTAAATATACGATTACATGGCATGACTCAAGAAAATACAACGTACTTATAACCATTCCTCCAGTGTTCCGATTTGCGGGCTGAAAAATTAGTTCCGGCTTAAGATTGTCTACTGTTTCAAACATAGCTACTATGTCCATGGAATAATTGCTATTGACACAAGTAGTCACGAAAAGAAAGTAAACCGAACTAGGTGCTTTGAATAAAATCTCTTATCAATCAGAACTTTCCATATATTATGGACCACTTCAAGTAGTATTTCGTATGACAACGATGACTATTGAATGTTTACATATCAGATTTTTCATAACTTATACAATTTCCAGTCCCTTAAGACAACACACTGACGATTACGTTGGTACAAACATTCAGTTGAACGCGCTAAAATGTGGCATGAATGTGAGGACCGTACACAACTGTGTGCCCTAAACAAGTAATGTCTGATAGGAGTGATGAACTCGGAACATAAGTAACGTCACTAGTTGTAAATCGGCAAGAGTGACCTAAAATATACTGTAAGGTTCGATACAATAAAAATCAGTCATTTGGCGATATCGGTTGATTTACGCCTTTAAAGGTAAGATCAGAATTTCGAATCAAGGGTTTACATAAACGAGCGTGCATATGGAACGAAATTTAAAGTTGACATTACGTTAATACACCACAACTCGAACAATAAAGAACTGGATAAGTCATTTTGAGTTGAATACGTAAAATTTAGGGAATAAAAATCTTACAGTATCTGCACAGTGTAGTCGTGCTGTTGCTTCTGAAAGACGAACAAGACTTTCCAGCTGTCTAACAGTGATGCGCCATGCAGACTTTGTCCCACTGGAAGCATCTCTCTGACGCATTTTTTTGTACTCTTCAACCATGCATTCCATAGCTTCCCCGCTTATCTGATGGTATAAAATGCAGTTAGAAAAATATGATACCACACTACTAGGTAATCTCAAATGAATAACAAGACAACTATATTTCCTACGGCATATGGTAAATTGACCAGTAAATAGTTTAATATTTATACCATAATAATTCTTCTGCAAAACAGCACAGAACACACTGATACTACATGAAGCTGGCTATGATAAAAACATAAATATTTGACCAGGAAACAAACGCAACTCAGTAATCAAGTATCTGTTCATCCTTGAGTTATAAGTACTATTAGGATGTTCAAGCGCCCAGTAGGCGTTCTTCACTGTTTAATATTCCTTACCATCATCTACACCACTACTATTTCGAATCTTTTGGTATTTTTGTTACTTTCATTTCGAGATGTTGATACCGAATAATTTGTCTACATATAAACACTTAGGATGTGTATTTGTGGCAAACTTTATACTCGGTAAGACTGAATATTATGATTAGATCCCTATGATCTTTCTGCCGGTCTTTGAAGAAAGCTAGGGAACAAACTATAAACACCATTGAAATAATTATCTTGATGGCAAAGTTTAGCAAATACTGAAGTAATGTGAAAAAAATTATTCCATACTTTTGGTTTAAAACAACGAGCAAAAGCGATGTAGCGACGAATGTTGTCAACTGAATAGATGGTGTGAGTATCTTCTGCGCCATGTCTCCCCATATGCAAATCTACAATTGAACGAGCGATAGCATAATCCACGATCTGGAAAAAAAAGTAATGAGCAGGAACGTAACAGTCAAACAAATACATTGCACAAAATTAGCATAGTTCGTTTGGTAATTTGTCAGATATATCTCAGTGTATCCTGTGAGAAGTTAGGGTATTGAATAGATTAGTGCATGAGGAGATCGGTATTATATTAATTAAAGTCTTTAGAATTTCCTCCGAAATGTCGTTTAAAAGTACTATGAGAACTACTAGAGCAGGTTTTCGTAAATAAGTCGCTGTTAAATAGCTCATTACCATTTACAAAATGTGACGCGATACCACTTACTTTACGTCAATCACGAGAACGTAAGAAAATTAGTAAGCAGACGGAAAGCCAATCGTTCTTCTCAGGTCATGTTGTGAATTGTTAACTTGTGGGTGAGATCACTTCGATAAATAAAAAAACAAAACAGAACTCATCCAAGATCCTAAAGCATCTGACAAATACGTGGTCTCAAGATAATCTGACGTGTGATTTTATCCGTAAAAGACTTTCTAGGTTCAGAAGCAACTATTAATTGGGATTACTTTGCCTCCTATAGGTGAATCGGGTACGTAGAACAAAAACTAAGGAACTTACGTCGTTGCATTCATCAATCAGCACAAAAAACAGGTCAAAACGTGATATGATGGGAGCAGACAAGCCAATATTATGTCGTAGAGATTTTGATCTGTCGTAGCGACCACCAATAGGGTTAGCTGCTGCAAGAATAGAAGTGCGAGCATTCAGTGTAGCTTTCACACCAGCCTTCGTTATGCTAATTGTTTGTTGTTCCATCGCTTCGTGAATTGCGACTTGGTCTTTAAGATCCATCTTATCGAATTCATCTATGCAGCAAACTCCCTTTAAGCAAGAAATTTAAAACTAGTGAAAAACTTGTATACAAAAACTAAATACATTATTTAGATAACAAGACCAAAAGAGAAATTCATGTTTGGATTCACTTAGTGCAATGGTCTAGTGAACTCATAATAAAGGTTCTGCGATATCACTAAAATATTCATTAGAATATGTGATCATGAATGAAATTATGGTTAGAATCGGAGTAATTCCTTTGGTAATAGTGGTAGTTTTCGGTAATCAGTCTTTGGTAACGACTGATATGTGTGTAAAAGACTCAGTGCTGAGATTACAATACATATAATACTTGGGAAAGAGTTGTTTTCTAGTTGCAGTTGGTAATAAATTATAAAGAGAATAGTAGAAAAAATATCAAAGAAATCCATTGAGAGCTTTTCACCGGGACGTTTATTGTAATTTAGAAAATAGAAATTGGTTTCTAAAGAAACAATCCGATATTGGATATACTCAGAGATGTTTAGAGAGGGCGAATTGCTAGCCGTGAGCTCTTATTGTTTAAGAATGAGTTTGGATTTTCGACAATGATTAATAAGATTCCAACTGCATAATAAATTTATTTTAGAAAGGCGAGATGTTTTTATTACCAATATGTTTTCTATGTACTATGAACACGTTTAACAAAACAAAAATCATTGAAAAACAGTTGTGAAAATGACTACTGCAAATAAAATGTTTAAAGTCAGTGACTTACATTGTCTGCAAGCATTAGTGCTCCAGCTTCAATGACAAATTCGAAGGACTCTTCATCCCTCACTACTGCAGCTGTCAAACCAGCTGCTGAGCTGGCTTTACCACTAGTGTAAACGGCACGTGGAGAAAACTTCTCAACATGTTTTAAGAACTGAGACTTCGCTGTACTTGGATCACCAACTAGACATACGTTTAGATCTCCACGGAGATGAGTTTTCTCTTCAGTAATCTATAAAAAGAATTAGACAGTACACTTGGCTGAAATAAATTAGGAGACAACGTTGCACTAAAATAAAAGCTAGAACAAATCTTCACAATAAGATGCCGACTATGTTTTTCAACATTAAATATATTAGCAAGAAAGACAAATTGAGATCCTATGCAACATATCTTCAGTTATGCATATCAACATGAAAATATATAGCCAGGAGTCAATAAAATAACACAAATTAAGTTCACGATGTATAAAACTACTGATTGTACTAACCTTGGGTACACCACCACAAAGCATCAACAGGATACCTTTCTTAACTTCATCAGCACCGTGAATAGTCGGGAAAAGAGATCTGCACATGTTTGTAAGAAGTTTTCGATCCTGACTCATTTGACAAATTGTATCGAGCTCAGATGGCGTCAGTCTTTTTGACAATGCTTCGTAAGAGATCGCATCTGACTCTTCTAATTCATCTGATGGCAAGTACTAAGATCAAAATTCCAATATTCATACACAATACGTAAAAAAACAGGATGATTTAAAACCATTTGAAGTGAGGCAAAGTTAAAATCAGAAAAAAATAAGTTGCTTGTAAGTTGTGGAGAACAGTAATAGAATGCATAACACTCAGGGGATTACAAAACAATAATAGAAAATGGAAACAGTGGAACGAATGGAAGTGAATAAATACGTGTCTATAAGTACATAAATCATTCATCTTATCTTTGTAAAGATCGAATTTCGGTCAACTTCCTGAAGTTCTGATTAAAATAAAACAACCTTTTAGAAGATTTAGTTTTAAGTGGAAATGATTCAGTGACATTAGGTCTACTGTAGGAATCTAGTTTGCAATTAAAATTTTCAGACTCCGAATCACATGTCCATTAAAACAAGCACGAATATTGTGTGTTAGTGATCCTAAGTAATACAATATCGTACGGCTTCAAAACTCAATGTGTGAAAAAGTACCATCAAATTTAAATGGCGATTTCGCATTATGGAACAAATTAATAAAAGGTACTAAGGCCTAGTAAATTTCCCCGCTGGATTATTTATTTCGGTTAGAGTTATTATTATTTGCCAAGTATAGGCCTAAGTACTCTCACTTAAGCCACATTTGAGTGGAGACTAGTAATATTACCCGGTTGCCTAAAGCGAAACACGCAAAGTGTGATCCGGATCTGCGAAATATTGACTGAAAGCCGAATGATTCACCCACTAAGCCACCACTTCGATTAAAATCTGGGAAACTACTGCCGATAACTACAACACTAGCCGACATCTGAAGCTATGGCTAAAGAATTACCACTCATGAAATTGGTGGAAAAAATATTGTTATCGAACGTGAAATTTGAACCGAGTACCTTACTGTAATTAACCGAGTGCATAAGTTACTAAGACATTATTGTACGTTTACCGTAACCAAGAACTTTATATTGGAGCGTACCATGGCAAAATTATAGAAACGTGTTATGAAGTTCATGCCATCAACCCAGAGTTATAAATTAGACTTACTCTTCCATTTGAAGGTATGACAGTACAAGCCAAAAACGCTGTTCGATAAGAAAGTTCACGCACTCCTAAAGCCTTTAGACCAGTTACACCGCCGATTTCTTGATTGTCTCGTCCTCGTAACGGTTTACCCTCTAACGACCTGTCACCTAAATAGAACCAAAATAGAGGATTTCTTTCCTAGGTAACAAAACTGTTCAATTTTTTAACTATCAATACTCATACAATACCCAATCAATCAGCGCAAACAAAACGGAACAGTTGCGACAAGTGACACAGATGGATTTAAGATGGCTACCAACATTTGGTGAGTAAAATAAATAATACAACTTAAAATGTTTAATTTACCGGGCGTCGCTAGTTGTCCAACATCAGGGATAACGATAAGAGTCCCAATAAATTCACACCGATCACCAGGTTGCGCAAGGTCTACTGTATCTGCACGTAGTATGACTTCAAGGCTGAAAGGTTTAACAAAACACGTAAAATGTACTGGCAGCCAAGGCAAATCAAATGGTGACGTATCAGGAGTCGAACTACACCACTTAACCTAGGGTTGTGTGAATGAGGAAAAAATTGACTTTACTGCTCAAAGATATACAGAAATATAGTGAAGTTCGAATCCAAGACTTTTATACGCAATCCTGGCATACCAAAAACTTTTAGTTATCTATTATGAACAAGTGAAAGTAAAAAACTTCAGGTTGTTGATTGCCAAATTCAAAACCATAAAATCATGTCTAGAAAACATCAGCTTATACACATATATCTCGTCAGATATGTTTGTTGGGTTGGTCAAAATAAATTTTCATGGATTGTGAAACTTACTACTTACAATCTAGGAGACCAAATAGCCACTTCTCAATCAATGGTTAGTAGCGATCAATCCATACGGTTTCCTGTTGTTGATCCGCAGGATTATTTTACAGCATCTCTCTCCAAACTACTTGCTTTAGATACTGTCTGCTAATTGACACCAACTATTTATTTACGTGACGTTCCAGACCAACAAAACATCAACTCATTTGCAATCTTTGTTGTCGAAAATTACTTTGCTTGATCTAGAGCATCTACCAACTATTTACTGTGACTTTACTACATGAATAAATAGATCGAATCATATTTCTTATTACCCACAATGTTTGTACTTCTTAGGACTTGTGAATAAGCAGACAAAAAAGACGAAAGTTAGTAGAATGAGCTTACTTGCGTGGAATGCTCCCTCGAGGTAATTCAGACTGAGTTTCTTGAACTCGGACTTTCTGGAAGTCGACGAATTTCGACTCATTCGTAAGCAACTCAAACTTAAGTCGGTTCCCGCATTGAGGATTAAAACATACCGTTGGCTAACGAGGTTAGTAAGACGTGGTAGTACCTGAGTATATTTGAAGGGCTGCTCCACATTTCTTATCACTATCTTACATTCGGAACATCGAAAAGTACCCATTAAAAGTTCGGGGTGAATAGGGTGTGCTCGTACGACCTGAGCACGTACTTTGATCAACCTTCCTAACTGACTTGCTGTGAGGTCTCGCATCCTGAGAAAAAATATTTTGAAATCATCAATACCTGTGTAAGCTAGGGACATCTGTAAAACTGACGTAGAAGTCCCTTCCTGAATTCTGAGTATCTGGTACGTGATCATTCACGAAATTTTTTGTGGCCGAGCAAAGCGCAGGATACAGCCTTTTGAAATAAGGCTACGATAAAACTCACCTATAAAACTCGTCCTGAATAAGTCCAGATAACCTCGTATCAGATACTATTATGTCTGTAAAGGTCACTGACAGTGTATTTTTCTCAAGTTGTTTGAGCCCGTTAGCAGCTTCTACATATTTCAGAACGTCGTTTTCCTTAAATCTTAACAGAAAAGTCAAGTGTGAATTGCAGTTACGTTTCCAAAAAATGGTGGAAAAGCCTCTGACACTCATCCGCAACCACATCGACCACTCGTATAGTTCGCACTTGAGTTTGAGCAACATCCATCACCGAGATTCAAGATACGCGGGGAATACAGCCTTAACACTAAATGGTACGACAAAACCAAGTCCCAGTCCGATTTCTTAATGTACAATTAGACCTCAGTGCTCATACGTGAAAATGTTTATGTCAGGTGACCTGTATTACTATTCACAATGTTTAATCTTCCTTCTAGTTTTTCAAGAGGTGTTGACACTACATGTACCCAAGCTCCCAACTTTAGGGAAATCCCCATAGTGAAATATCCTTCCCAAAAGTTTGGGGAAATTTTGGAGTTTTTGTGCCATTTCCCCAAAGTTTACTATAGCGGATTCTCCAAAATTTTCCCAAAGTTGGGGGCTTGGGTAGTAGCAACTTGCAACTAAATAAGGTGGATAGAACTTTAAAAAGTAAATAATCTGCCCTTTATATTCAAATGGTTCAAATGGTTGTGGACGGAATAGAAGAAGCTTTCGCTTAACAGGCTTCCGTGTCTAGTAGCAGGGGATCACCAAATCCTCCTGGCAACTTTTCCCTGTACAAGTTGTCGTATGATATAGAAAAAGATATCTGGCGAGCTGATATTCCAGCAATCAGAGACTATGTTATCTCAACTGGCTGATCAGTCGACGTGGATGGATCGATCGAAGACAAATGGAATAGGTTTAAGGCTACATTCAAGTCCGCAAAATCACCGTTTATCCCATGTTCAACACGTAAGCTATCACAATTCCCTCCATGGATTGATAAGGAAACCCGGAAACTGTTGAAGCGTAGGAAATACTTCTGAAACCTATTCTTTCCGACGGGAATACCAAAGAATCCAGAATATATGTAAAAAGACTCTAGCTAAATACCGTACTATTTACAAAAGACAGTCGGCATATGATAGCCGTACTTGTCCGAAACGTTTGTTTTCACATGTTAAATGGCGAAAATCTTAGTGATGGTATTCCCTCGTTAATGTTACACGATAATTCAGATTTAATGGCTGAATCAAATCGAGCAAAAGCTGAGACCTTTTCAAACGATTTTAGTGAAGTCTACTCCACCTGTAACTCCGCCTGGAGTCCCTCCGGGGGCTACTGCCGGTCCCAAGCCCGGATAAAGGAGGAGGGTTGGGCATGGGGTTAGCGTCCACATCCCGTAGAAAACTAAATCGCTAAAAAACGCTAACCAGAAAAAATTATTCAAACCTTTTAAACTCTGCCCTGGGAGTCAGAAGGTCTTCATTTAGAAGAATTATGACGCCTCATGATGAAAGGCGAATTCCTTCGGAAGTTACGAGGCCGATGCCCCTTCTGACAACCAGAGCGACCATTTACTTAGGTACATGGAATGTTCGTACAATGTCGGACACCGGAAGAGCCTTCCAAATTGCTGCAGAAATGAGAAGATACAACCTAGAGGTACTTGGGATCAGTGAAACACATTGGACACAAGTTGGACAACAACGACTAACTACAGGAGAGCTCCTGTTATACTCCGGCCATGAAGAAGAAAATGCACCACATACACAAGGAGTTGCATTGATGCTGTCCAAACAAGCGCAAAATGCACTTATAGGATGGGAATCTCATGGACCAAGGATCATCAAAGCCTCGTTCAAAACAAAGAAAGAGGGCATTTCAATGAACATCATCCAATGCTATGCGCCTACCAACGACTACAATGAAGACGCTAAAGACCAATTCTACAATAGGCTGCAGTCAATCGTCGAGAAGTGCCCAACAAAGGACCTGACCATTCTGATGGTAGATTTCAACGCCAAGGTTGGAACGGACAACACTGGATATGAAGACATCATGGGACGACACGGACTGGGAGAAAGAAACGAAAATGGTGAGAGATTTGCAAATCTATGTGCCTTCAATAAGCTGGTCATAGGCGGCACCGTATTCCCACATAAACGCATACACGAAACCACATGGACTTCACCGGATCACTCTACACAAAACCAAATCGACCATATTTGCATCAACAAAACGTTCAGGAGGACTATAGAGGACGTGAGAACCAAGAGAGGAGCTGATATAGCATCAGATCATCACTTACTGGTCGCCAAGATGAAATTGAAACTCAAGAAGCACTGGACAACGGGGCGGACAGTATCACAAAAGTTCAATACGGCCTTTCTCCAGGATACTAACAAACTCAACAAATTCAAGATAGTCCTCAGCAACAAGTTCCAGGCCTTTCATGATCTACTCAATGGAGAAGGAACTACTGTGGAGAGCAACTGGAAGGGGATCAAAGAGGCAATCACTTCAACTTGTCATGAGGTCCTGGGTCACAAGAAGTACCATCACAAGGAATGGATCACTCTTGATACACTGGGTAAGATTCAAGAAAAGAGGAAGAAGAAGGCAGCAATCAATACCAGTCGAACAAGAGCAGAAAAAGCCAAGGCACAATCTGAATACATAGAAGTAAACAAACAAGTGAAGAGGAGCATCAGAACCGACAAACGTAAATATGTGGAAGATTTAGCAATGACGGCAGAAAAGGCTGCAAGAGAAGGAAACATGAGACAATTGTATGACACGACAAAGAAACTCTCTGGAAATCGCCGTAAACCAGAACGACCAGTGAAAAGCAAGGAAGGGAAGGTAATCACCAACATTGAAGAGCAACAAAACAGGTGGGTAGAACACTTCAAAGAACTCTTGAATCGACCAGCTCCACTGAACCCACCCAACATCGAAGCAGCACCCATGGACCTCCCAATCAATGTTGGCCCACCAACAATTGAAGAAATCAGCATGGTCATCAGACAAATCACGAGTGGCAAAGCAGCAGGACCAGACAACATCCCAGCAGAGGCACTAAAAGCAGACGTAGCGGCGACTGCAAGGATACTCCACATTCTCTTCAGCAAAATTTGGGATGAAGAATAAGTACAAACAGACTGGGAAGAAGGACTTCTGGTCAAAATACCGAAGAAAGGCGATCTTAGCAAGTGTGATAACTACAGGGGCATCACTCTTCTCTCAATACCGGGAAAAGTCTTCAACAGGGTATTGTTAAACAGGATGAAGGACTGCGTAGACGCCAAACTTCGTGACCAACAGGCAGGATTCCGTAAGGATAGATCGTGTACAGACCAAATCGCAACTCTACGGATCATTGTGGAACAATCAATTGAATGGAATTCATCACTCTACATCAGCTTCATTGACTACGAAAAGGCATTTGACAGCGTGGACAGAACAACACTATGGAAACTTCTTCGACACTACGGCGTGCCTCAGAAGATAGTCAATATCATACAGAACTCATATGATGGATTACACTGCAAAATTGTGCATGGAGGACAGTTGACAAAGTCGTTCGAAGTGAAGACCGGTGTTAGGCAAGGTTGCTTACTCTCACCCTTTCTCTTTCTCCTGGTGATCGACTGGATCATGAAGACGTCAACGTCTGAAGGGAAGCACGGGATACAATGGACATCTAAGATGCAGTTGGATGATCTAGACTTCGCAGACGATCTGGCCCTTCTATCCCAAACGCAACAACAGATGCAGGAGAAGACAAACAGTGTGGCAGAAGCCTCAGCAACAGTAGGTTTCAACATACACAAAGGGAAAAGCAGGATTCTCTGATACAACACAGCATGCACCAATCCAATCACAATTGACGGAGAAGATTTGGAAGATGTAAATCCTTTACATATTTGGGCAGCATCATTGATAAACAGGGTGGATCTGATGCAGATGTGAAGGTGCGGATCGGCAAAGCAAGAGCAGCATATTTACAATTGAGGAACATCTGGAACTCAAAACAACTGTCAACCAACACCAACACCAGGATTTTCAATACAAATGTCAAGACAGTTCTACTGTATGGGGCAGAAACCTGGAGAACTACAAAAGCCATCATCCAGAAAATACAGGTGTTTTTTAACACTTGTCCACGCAAAATACTTCAGATCCGTTGGCCGGACACTACTAGCAACAACGTACTGTGGGAGAGAACAAACCAGATCTCAGCGGAGGAAGAAATCAGGAAGAAGCGCTGGAAGTGGATAGGACACACATTGAGGAAAGCACCGAACTGCGTCACAAGACAAGCCCTCACATGGGATCCTCAAGGCCAAAGGAAAAGAGGAAAACCAAAGAACACATTGCGCAGAGAAATGGAAATGGACATGAGAAAAATGAACAAGAATTGGATGGAACTAGAAAAGAAGGCCCAGGACAGAGTGGGTTGGAGAATGCTGGTCAGCGGCCTATGCTCCATTGGGAGTAATAGGCGTAAGTAAGTAAGTAAGTAACTCCACATGTATTGTTACAAATACCTGTCACAATCACACCGAGATACTATCCATAGGATCTGTACATGTGGCTGAGAAAACTGTCCTTCCATTGCTAACTAACCTCAAACCTTGTGAGATACCGGGCCCCGACGGGTTACATCCACGGCTGTTGTCATCTCTTTCGGACACTATTTCAAGACCACCCGATACGTGGTTCAACGTGTCCCTTTCACTCACCCAACTCCCTAGAGATTGGAAAGACGCTATAGTCAGTCCTATATTTAAGAATGGTCAGAGACAGATTGTATCTAACTACCTGCCTA